TTATTCTGTCGTTTCAAAAATCAGCTAAGAGCTCATATCAGCTAAGAGAACGGTATTTAAAAAAAAATGCTAAATAAATATACTGAGAAGAAAGAATCTTCATTCATAGAATTCAAAATCCAAGAAAAAAACATTTATTTTTTTTTTTGACACAATCCATATTGCACTTCGCTGACCTATTTAGAGATGTAAAATATTACGTTCGGATTTAGTTTATTTTTACACATGTCAGTTCACTTTCTTTAATTTGCCGCTCTTTTTTTGTTTTTTTTTATTTTATTCTTCTTTAGAATGTTATATAAATTGTTTATTTCATTGTGTTATTTAATTTAACATATAATATATTTTACTTCTCAGTTTTAGGTTTGTCAATGATAGACATCGACATTTATAAAAGATTATTAAAAAAACAAAACAAGTCACATAAGCAACAACAAACAATAGACACAATCCACATAATTATATTTATTTATAATTTTTAAGATTTAAACGCGCAATTTAATTAAATTAATTTAGATAAAATTAAATAAATAAAAACAAAATTAAGGAAAAACACTGAACAAAACGAAAATCCGTAGTTGCACACGAAGGCGCCAAGTACAACTAAAACGCAAGGCAAACGCTCGAGAGAAGAGCAAACCAAAACACTATTTTTCTCAGTGCATGATAACTAAAAATAAAACAACTGAAGTGGTCTTCGGTCTACGGTCTACGGAATATTAGATTGATTTCGAATAAAAACAGATACAATCGAATTAAACCAATCATGAAATCTTCAAAGTGCTTCAGACCACAATTCAATGCAATTCGATTGCATCCAAAAGCTACAAGTGCATTTCGGATTGTACTCTGAAAGTGTTAGAAGAGGTTATTGCGCTCACAACTTCCAGATAAACGCCTTCTGAAAATCTAAAAATAAAGTCAGCTGGATAGAAAATACGATAGCAAGATGATACTTAACGGAAATGATCGAATATATCACAAATAGAAAACACTCGTGTAAGTCGGATATGTGGAATATTTTTAAAAATATTTTGGAGCAAAAATGTTTGTTTACGGAAAGATACTAGTAGAGAAAAACAAAAAAAAATATTTATTGTTGGTTTAGATACCTCAAGATTTAAAAATTATTTACAAAAAATAGATTGGCTTTTATTATGTTTGGATAGACCTGTTCATTTGTTTTCAATCTCTTCTGTACTATGTTTTCTTCCTTATAAAAATATTTGTAGTAGAGCAATGTTTATTAGGAACTTCGAATAGAACAACATCTGTTTAATGATTATAACTTTTTGTAACCCTTATAATATCTCGTCACCCATATACAAATGTCATTCGGAATATACCGTATTGAAACTCTATGATTACATCTCTTGATATATGTTACAAATTCAATGCTCAAATGTACTTTGGTGAATAAAGCTGTCACAACAAACTATACGAATACAACTAAGAGCTAGCTATCTTAACTATATAACAGATTTTCTAAAGTAATTTAAGACTTATGTAGCATCGGAATTCTAGAAACTAAATACTTTTATGTTAAATAAGCACAAAGTTCGATTATAATAAAACATTAGATGTTATAATACACCGAGATATCTTATAATCTCTTGTGCAATCCCTGGAGATTGGAGATCCCTTAAATAGATACAAAGTTCGAATATATAGACGCCATGCTTTTCTGTAAATGCTAAATCAATATAAACAAATTATTAGATGTTTTATTACAATTATTAGAATTGATAATGATTTTAGATTTATAAGATCTCTTCTGCAATCCCTGCAGATTGCAGATTCCCAAAGATCTCCAAATTTAGGCTGTTGACAAACCTAATAATGTCTCTCAGTATTAGATTCCTACACTTCGTTCAATTCAGTGACAGTCAAACAAAGATATTGGACTTATTTTCGGACAATGACAGAACACACCCAAAGAGGTTAGGTGGAACTTTCAATATGCATTTTACAGATACTGCAGGAGTCAGTGTGTTTTAATCCCATCTTCAAAAGGTGGTAATTAACAGGAACATGTCGATTTAGGAAACCAATGATTAACTTAAGTTCAGATATATTTCCACTGAGAAACTTATCATTTTTGTTATTGACACGAATAAGCAATTTGTACTGACTTAGGCCTTAAGACATGGATCCGGCTTTCTCCAACAGCTTATCTTTTAAACACTGATTCAATCTGACAAGATGACATTCAACAAAACGCTTCGGGTCCTATGAATGGAGTTAGTACACATACCTTTCCAAGCTTGGCAGCTGTTTCGTTACCATCGAAGCCCTTATGACCAGCTACCCAAACGAGGTTACTTTATTTGTAGTAGATAATTTAGAAATAAGATTTTTGCAGCTTCTGAACATTTTGGATTTGAAGAGATTACAAAGCAAATTGGCTGTTCTAATATATAATAATGCTGGCGTTATTGTATCGCCTTTTTAAGCATTTTATAGCACAGATTTTAATGGCATGCAACTCTGCCTGAAAAACTATTGGAGAAATTTTCATTAGAACATCTATGGTAAATCTGAGTCCATCGCTTGCTTGTGTATAGATCAAATTTGATCCATTAATAAACTGAGCATTAGTTTCTTATAGAAAAAACTGTTTTGAAGTCACAGAAGGAAAAGTTACCTTTACATAGGATATTTAAAATATGGAAGGCAGGATTATTTCTAATGGCTTTTAAAATTTGAAGATGTCCTTTGAGTTAATCCTCATGGTGGCACACAACTAAGTACTTATTTGCTTAGTTGTCTGCCACCGTGAAACATCTTTAGAGGCCATTATTATAGGTTTAATATAAGGTTATTATTCGACATATTTTATCGTAACGACATTACCAAGCTTTGCTTTGTTTATCGTTTTCTTTGTGTTAACTTTATCCGAACTTTTTATCGAGATAGTAAAAAGCGCATGAGTCCATCAAAGAACGTTTTAAAAGACCCTAAAGTAAGATACCTTAAAGATATCAAAATTGTATACAACAATTTTAGTAAGATCCAAGTGGATGCCTCATTTGCAACAACGGCCTAAAAACAAATCACTCGATGAAAACGATTGGTTAAATTGATTTAATTACGCTACCAAACACACTTCTCAGATCTGACTCCCAGTGACTATTGGGATTTTGCAGGTATTAAAAAGAGATAGAAGAAGATATAAGAAGAAGAAACAAGAAGAAGAGATAGGAAGCAGAAACAAAAAGAAGAGATAAGAAGGGATAAGAAGAAGTGAATAATATATAATAATAATATATATAATTTATATGTTATAATATATATAATACATATGTTATAATATATATAATATATATGTTATAATATAAATAATATATATGTTATAATATATATAATATATATGTTATAATATATATAATATATATGTTATAATAAATATAATATATATCTTATAATTCATAAGATATTATTCTGCTAATACTAAACGGATATTTTAAATTTAAAAAACAAAGAATTTTAATTATTAATAATTAGTTTATTAAATAGTATAAAATTGTATATTTAAATAATATATAAATTTATATCAGAAAAAGTATAAAATTTGTATATAATTATAAATATTTATAATTCTTTTCGATTATAAAAACTTTACATTTCAAATGTTTGCTTTTTACTATATTACAAATGTTTTTTTTTTGTGTGAAGTTCATTTTTATTCTTCCTAAATAAATTTAAATTTAACTTTAATATTTACATATGTAAATACAAATAACAATTTTATATATAAAATAACAATTTTGTTTATTTATTGATAATATATCAATTAAATAGGATATTGTCAAAATAACAATTTAATACGAGTATTTGTATTTATAATTGTTTTAATAATTTTTTAAAAAAGATTTTGTCAAAAATTTGAGCATTAATTTCAAGTCTAGTTTTTAATTAATAAAATATTAAAAAATATAATATTAGTCTTGTATATTTTATATGTTAAAAATAATATGTATATATAAATGTATTGTCTTTATTTAATAATTAACTTTTCAGTTTTAAATAAATTTGTTTTCTTAATTATTTTTGATATGCTTCAATTAAATTCAATTAAAATCGATGAATTTTTAAACTTTATGTTTAAATTTAATTTTTTTAATATATATATTTTTACTATATATATATTTATTTATTTACAAAAATATATTTTCACTTATAAACATAATTTAAGGCGGTTAGTCTTTTGTTTAACAACGGAAAGCACTGGTTTTAATATTTTTATGAAATTTACCAAAAAAAAGAAAGAAGAAAATAAAAATTATAGTTGCTTTAATTGTTTTTCTTAGTCATATACTGAAGAAAGAATTTATCTAATAGTTTTAATAAATCAAAAAATAAAAAGTAATTTAAGAAGTAGTTTCAAACGAAAAATTTTTGTTTTCAAAATAAATAATTTAGAAATAGATATAATTTAAAATAAAGTTTTTTTGTTAAAAAGTCAATTGAAGAGAAGAACGGTGAATCCACATATTTATAATTCTCATATGGTATAAAACATTGCTGTCGTTTTTTTTCCAAACTATTGGTATTTTAAAATTGAAGTAAATACAAAATAATAGCGGTACTCATCTAAACAGATAAATGCCTTACAAAACTTATAAACGTATAAATTTATCCACTTGGTAAATGAAGTGTCAAATTTTGTATAAAAAATCGTTTAGGGCCATGTTATGCAGTGTCTCGGGCACGGCATAAGTGAAATTGTTGTTGTTTTCAATGCAAATTTTAAATTTGAGAGTGTGAGAAAAAACAATATGGCCGTTCAAATTCTGGTATGAGAGTCGGCGTATTTGTGCCTCGGCACTAAGGTAAAACAGCGTTATTTAATAATAAATTTCAGTTCGTTTTAAAATGGCAATAAGCAACACAGCCTATTTTATAAACTGCTAATATTTTAATTATTACACTTTCCGATTTTAAGTAAAGGCGTATAATTTTGTAAGTACTGTTAACAATTATTATTAGATAATATAATAATAAATTAACAATCAAAACACTCTGCATAACATGCATTTTCGGCATAGCCCGAATAAGCGAATTTTGCCGTGTACGAGACACTCTGCATAACATGGCCTTTACACAGACTTTATAAATTTACGAGAAAATGTTACCGAATAAATTTATATCGTATAAATTTACTTGTTGTCAATAGAGAATTGCATTCCAACACAAACAAGTCATATACAAAAATATCTTTGTAAATACTTTTAAGTTTGGACTTTTCACTCAATTTAAGTGTTTTCTTTTATAATTTATTGACAACGACATAACTGACGAATAAAGTTTACATAAATATTTAAAATTGCAACGACATTGGTTAAAAAATTGCACTGCTGCGTATTGCATTTTGTGCTGTCATAATTATTGTTGATATAAAAAGTGCTATTATACAGCGGATTGATAAATTTACACAAATATTTCACTAAATCTGTTTATACATTTGATAAATTTATATGCTTAGATGAGTACCCCTAACGTTTGTATTACTAAATATAAAAATATTATAATTTAATTTCAAAAGAGAATATCATTTTTGTTGTTAAAAAAACTAAATAAGCTTTTTGGTAATCCCCACATACCCATGTACATCTTCCAAGTACACTAAAATCCAATCCACAACTAATTTGACTGTTCAGTATTATTGCTAGCTGCCTCTTTCTGCCGAAATTTGGTGGAATATTTGTAAAAGTCAGACATTTCAAATGGCTTTGTAACCTCTTTATATGGTTGATAAGTAGCCTGTTGCACTACTATGACCGTAGTGGGGGAGTCTCTACGTATATCTGGAGACAACGGTGCTGCCGCATTTGCACTAACAACAGCAGCAATAGCTGGCGAAGCTGCCAGTGATTTTTCTGCAGGCGGTGGGCGTGGTGGGGGTGTTGGTTGCTGCACACTATTGTTGCTGTGTGCAGACGGTTTCGGTGGTAGATTTCTAAAATTTGGTATATCAATTTGTATTGCATCCACGTGATATGCAGGCGATATGGACGATGTTTCCACGGAATTCAAATAGGAAGTTGACTGACTTAATTTGGTATAATGACCTTCATTATCCAGCAATAATTTTGTGCTATGCGGATTTTTCGTCGTTGACATTGAATAGTGTCTGCCGCTGGACATTGATTGTGATGACAGTTTTGAGCGTTCACGTGGCAACGCCTGTGGTTTTTGTGGTAGCAGACGCCCAAATGTTGCAGTATTACTTTCTATGTGTTGTGTGGGTTCCGCATTTGACTGTGTGCGTATGACAGGTCCATCTAATGATGATTCAAGCCATTGTTTCGATTTAGATTTCTTTTGTGTTTCACTATTAAACGATGATATAGAAATTTCATCGAGTGGCTTTGCTTTAGGCTGTAGTGGTTGTGCATAGAAATTCGTTATACTAGGATTCATATTGCTGTGACTGTGTGGCGTTGGTGGGGATAATTGTGAGAGCATATCACTGGAATGTGATTTTGCATCATTTGGTGTATTCATTGCGTGTGTTTGTATATTTGTTTGAGAACGCCAACGCATATTGCTTGTGGTGTCAGTATCCATGGAAACATATGACGGCGCTAGTGAAATCGCATCTAAATGCCGTTGATGTTGCAATGCGACTGGTTGTAATTGTTGCAATGGCACTGCAATATGTTGCAGCTGTTGCGGTGAATGATGTATATCGTAATTTGTAGCAACATGCAGTTGTTGTTGTGTAGGTGATGCTAATGGTGATATATATTGCTTAATATTTTGACTTGATTTTATAAAACCACCATCATTGTAGCTGTGATGTGTTGGTGATAAGTAGTATTTATCACATTGCACAACAATTGGTTGCTGTTGTGGTGAAATATGTTGATGGCGCAGTGTAGCAACATTTGCTGAATTGACTGAGTACAAGGAAATAGCATCGGTTTGCAGATGTGATAAATACTGTTGTTGCAGTAAGCGCTGCTGTTGATGTTGTTGATGGAAATGTGGATGTTGTAGCAATTTATGCTGTTGCTGCAACTGTAAATGTTGTTGTAACATTTGTTGCTCTGCATGATGCTGCAACATTTGTTGACGTTGCAATTGTATATAATTCAAATTGGCGGTAGGAATGGGTGTTGTGCGATTTTTTGAATTATTTTTCGCATTTTGTTGTTGCTTTGCTTGTAAAATATTTGCATTGCTTGTTTCACCTGCTACTCCTCCTCCTCCACCACCACTTAGACTAATACTACCACTACCAATACCTGGGTAATTATCATACTCCGAAGAGCGATTGGAAAGCTCAGAATGTCTATTTGTGCTGTTATTATTGTTGTTCTCTTTGCTGGACTTCCGTCTCAATATTGCTGATCCTACACTGCCACTGCTGGCTGACTGTTCTTGCTTGTATTGCTGTGCTAAATTTGCAAAAATTTCATTTAAATTTAAATACTCGAAATTACCGTTCAGGATTTGAGTTTCTTGCTTTTGTATTTGCTGCAAAAGCCAACTTTTTTCGCTTAGCAGCTTTTCCAGTTCACGCTTACGTTGTTCCAGTGTTTGTTTCTTAAGCCTAATTTCGGCATCATCCATTGTCGTGGTTTTACTATTATTCGCATCGTCATTGTTATTAGCTTTCCCGCTGACGTTGTTGTTGTTGTTAGCTGACGTACGACTGGTATTGTCGTCATCATTATAGCTGGCCATCGTCTTGACGCTTATTTGATCCTGTTTTAGGTGCTCTCCTGTCGGTTTAACGTGCATTTGTGCTATTTTTCCTTACCATTTGTTAATTTTTGCTCCCAATCTTTCACTTAATTGGAGGTTGTTGATTTGGCGTGGTGTAGTGTGGAGGAGGAGTAAGAACTTATGTTCCACTTTTAAGCAGGTTTGAGTGGAATCCTAAAAAGAACACAAGCAACACATGTGAAACAACGTGATTTGGTGTTAAGTTTTTTTTAGTTTTATTGTAGTTTTTTATGGTAATTGTTATTAGATTAAATGTAACTTAAAGTTAGAACAACATTGTACTTATTATATACAAAATTGGCACCTTAACCAATAAATAATTCTTAAATATACATACTTTCAGATATAAGTTAAATACAAAATATTAATATGTAGTAATATAGCAATCCGGTCTATATTTAGACTTAACATATGTCATATGAATTGATTAAAGTATTTTGTTGGAAAAATCAGTGCCTTTGAAGACTTTGAAGTTTATGAAACAATTTTTAATTCAACCAGCTTTTAACCGAAACATCCGTAACGTCATTGAACTGAACCAAGAACTAAACAAACTGATGCAGAGGTCAGATAAATAACTTTTTTTCTTCAAATAAACCCTATTGATCTGTGTTTCCATTTCATTAAGTTGGTTAAGTTTCTTTACTTTGACCCAAGCTAATTTCAATTAAATCCGACCCACCCACAACAACATTCTAACCCATGTATTCGTTTTATAATCCATGTAAGATACCTGTTCTACAGATCTATCCATCCGTGATAAGTGGCTTGCTGTCACTAGATGATAATAAAGAGGGCTTTTATATCTTTGGTCGACTGATCCTTTCACCAAAGATACGAATGTGCTCTACCCCACCATGTTTTCCATTATCAAGTACCGAACGAATCTAACTTTCTATTCGCACGATAGCAGGGCTAATAAATTTTTATACTCTAAAATATGTCAATGTCACGATATAACTCATAAGGCTCGCCGCTTCATATAATGCAATACTCATTGTCAACGTATAAGGAAACATAGAAGAATTTTTCTCCTAATGCCTATTGATCACAATTAGTCTCTTGCTGATAATATGATTATTATTAGAAGGAACAATGATAAACCTTGATCTAAAAAATCTTTTGTTTCACATTTAGAGAGATTCTACTGATCCTACTCAGACACAAAATAATTTAATGATAAACCTTAAAATAAACCCTTTGTCAGAATATTAATAATAGATTACACAATGGCGATCTATGAAATCTATTGTGTTATGCCTAAAAAAGTCTTCCCATCTAATTCAGACACAAAGCTAATAATAACTATTAGCAAAAACCTAACAACTCGGATACCGATTAAGACTAATGATAAACATTATAGTGGTCAGTCTACATTTTTAGAATAAAAAATGGCACACCGCAGCAAATGAAATATAATGTATTGCGCATAGAAAAGGTTTACCAATTTTACTCAAATACAGATAAATAAATACAGATGCAATACAATACAATACAGATAATAAATGTAACAATATCTTTGGATGATGACTCCATTCTAATTACAATAAACAATGTTAAACTACGGTTTATGGCTAGCAATAAGTCTGTTGTACTACTCTTTTGATAGTGTTAACCGACGTTTGGTCGTCGGGATGAATATATAGCTTTGAAATGTAACCTACTTGCTTCAGGAATCTTTCGATATAGGCTGATTTCAAATGGCACAAAGCCATACTCTCATATTGCCAATATCCCAAACGACCCTTCTTCCTCTCACTCTATCTTCATTCACTCGCATCTTAACCCATATATATATTTAATTCCTTTCATGGTTTCTTGGTCTATATTATTATCAAATAATAGGCTATGAATGCACCCCGACCTGAAAGATCTATTGTGCGTCTAAAACTCCTACTAAAACAATTCTAGATTATTTATAAATCTCGTAATTGCTGTGGGCTAATAATCCCTCGATTTAGGATTCCAAACCTCTTTCGACTAAATGAAACTGTGACTAATTAATTTCTAATGAATGACAAATATTTTAATAATTTGTTAGAAAAATGTAATATTAAATTTTTTTAAAAATTTCCGTTGGTTGTATATATTTAATAATGTTATTTGAGAGACACATTTATGCATATTTATATAATTATTTAAATATTTAATAAAAAATGAACGTTTAGATTTATGCAGAGTAAATGTTATATGTAAATTTGATCACCAATTTAATTATTGGCATTTTATAAGAGAATTTTTTATACAAAAACAATGCAATATGAAATGTTTTTATTTCTAAAATGCATATTTTAAGTTTATTTACTAGTTTTAATAAAAATAGAAAATGATAGAAAAAAAACCCAAACATCGTGACAGATAAACTTCTTTGGAAACAACAAGTCAAGGCAAACCGTAAAGCCGTAAAGGGAAGCTTGCTATTTCCGTTTATGTGCATATATTTTTTTTTTTTTAAATTAGTTAAATTATTCAAAACTGCTCAACCCAGTATGAAAACATCTTAAGTGAGTGGTTGGATGATTCATGTGCAAAAGTAAACAAGCTCAAGTACAATGACAGAACTAATTTCCATTAGTTACTTTTTTATATAACCCACTTTTAGAATATTAATATTCACTTCACTTAATTAATTAGTTACAAATTAAAAATAATAATTTATAATAAATATTCTCACCTCTTTAAAATCGTATTGAGTTCCTTAGTATTCAAAGCTGAACGTTGACAAATGATGCAATGAAGGCAGCACGGAAGCATCAGTAATCGATGAAGGCATAACAAAATTTAATTTTTATGCAAATGAACTCAAAACACTGACATCATTTAAAGGCCAGAACTCCGTCAATTAAAACTAATTTTTTTTTTAAATCTTGTTAATATATTTTCTTTTTGTTCACTAAAATAATAATAAAATTTTAAATAAAAACATATTGTATAACGAAAATTATGAATATTTACCCGTAGTTCGTCAATTAATAGGGCAATAAACTGCGTTGCAACGCAAACAACAACAAAAATTGACAGCGACTCCGCAAGCCAAGAAGTTCGAAGTTCTTTACGATTTTTTTCTCTTCTCGTTTTTTTCTTAAGCAAACACTTTTATGTGCATTTATTTTTACTACGCGTAATCACAACCAAATATTTTTATATTTATTCTTGAAAAGCACTGTTTATAATATATTTTTTTCTATTCAATAACTTATATTTAAAAATAATACTTTTTATCTTTAAGAAAATTTACTTAATTAAACAAGAAAACGCAACTAAAACGCAACACACGAAGAAGCTCTATGAAAAGTGGAACATAAACAACGCTACTAACCGCAATAAGAATGAGAGATTAAAGGGAAAATCCAAAACAGCTGCATATGACAGCGCGGCGCAGTGTTGTAAAATGTAAAAACGAGAAATGAAGCACAACATTGGTCTAAGGTCGTGTGCGAGTTAGGCTAAGTTGATGCTAAACCAAATGGGAGATTTTTTGGGATTTTTTGCACTGCACACATTTTGCCATTTATCAACACGTATCGACACATCAATACATTATCGACACAACTTAGAATTTCCCTCATTTAGAACGCAACTTAGCCTAACTCGCACACGACCTAAAATAAGCAAAACCTGATGATACGTTTAGGCCGTGTGCGAGTAAATTGAGGTAAACTAAATTGAAATGTTCTAGGAATTTCTTGTAAATATTTATTTATTTATTGCATTTATTTATTATTTTTGATTAAAAGTAACCAAATTTATTTATTTATTTAGTTATTAATAATCTTAAAAAATTTTCACAATAAAACACCTAATTCACCTAATAGTTATCTAATTAACTGTATTCGAAATTCTGGTAAATACCAACATCGCTGTCATACCAATGTAATTTACTATTTCCCTCAATTTACCATCAATTTATTCGAACTCGCACACGGCCTTAAAAGTATCAGCGTTTTCGATTGGTAAATCTAAGCTAAATTTTTTAAACGAGATTAACTTTATGGACGTGTGCGAGTTAGGCTAAATTAATGCTAAACCAAATGGGAGATTTTTTGGAATTGTTTGCACTGCACACATTTAGCCATTTATCAACACGTATCGACACATCACCACATTATCGGCACAACTTAGAATTTCCCTCATTTAGAACGCAACTTAGCCTAACTCGCAGACGACCTAAATGCCATATTCTTTTTTGATTGGTAAATTTGTATAACACTTGAGAATAATGTATAACATTCAATATTAATTTATAACCTCTAGAAATTTTGCCAGAGTAGCAAAATTATACTATGCTTGTCCAAATTTCCTTAATTTCGTTAAAATGAAATTAAGTTTATTTTAGAAAGTGTTCATACTGCTCCAATTTAAGAAAATCATATTTTTTTGTTTACAAATCGAATATTAAAAATTACATGCTCGAAACACTATTTGTACCTGTGAAATTTTAAAAGTTGATTGTCATAACTATAAAAGATGGCATTCGGTAGTTTTATTAGTTTTAGTGAATTTTAGGTGTGTAGATTATTATTTTTCACTCCATTTTAAATTAATAACAGTTACAGTTTTTTCTCTTTATTCAAATTTGAAAACTTGCATTACTTTCATATTTTCTCCGTTTTATTAAAGTCAGCTGTTTTTAAACATAAATGTCACTTTTTTGTTATCTCAACCTATCTTTTGCTTAAAAATAATGCCATTTTCCTTAAATTCGTTCTAACCTTAAATTTTGTATGAAGAAAACAACTTAATTTCGCTGAAACGAAAACGATATGAAAATGTTGCGAAAATAAGTTGTGTCTGAACATAGTATAACACTCGACATATTTTACCACAGTAGAAAAATTACACTGAAATTAACAGCTGTTTTATATGACCACAAATAAAGTGTGGTTTAACGTGTGCAAGTTAGGCTAAGTTGAAGCTAAACCCCAAATGGAAGATTTTTTGCGATTTTTTTGCACTGCACACATTTAGCTATTTATCAACAAGTAACGGCACATCACTACATTATCGGCACAACTTAGAAATTCCCTCATTTAGAACGCAACTTAGCCTAACTCGCACACGACCTAAATAGTAAGTCTGAAGACACATCTTAACCAGAATTAAGGCTTATTAAAAATATTATTAATTCTTTTGTGAAAAATTATAAAATGGATAATATATAATTTTAAATTTAAAAAGTGTCTTTTGAGATATTAACTTATTATTTTTCACTTACTGCAATAAATAGAAATAGAAATTGTGACATAAAAAAGCGATGCAAAAAGAAATATACAGTAAGCAATTATTTAAATGCTTTTTGAAATGTGTTCCAAATATATTTTGTCACTGTTCTTTTCATTATTTAAACAAAAGAACAAAATAACCGAAAAAGTAAAACATCTTATATCACGTTTTCACTGGCTTCGTTAGACAAGTAACTTACTTGAGATTCGAGTAATTCAAACAATTTCAAGTAAATTAACTGGTCTAACGAAGCCAATGGAAACATACTATCTAAACCTCTTTATATATTTCATATATTATAAAAACATCGTAATGTTTATTATTTTTTTTTTTTTCATTTTATTATAATAAACTTACAGGAAAATTTAAAGCGTTATAACACGATATTCAGAAATATGTAAATGTACTTGCAAATTTACATACAAATATTTATATTAATATATAATGATAAGATAATAATCATGAAATTGTTTCTAGTATCGCTAATGAATGTCTTTTATATATTATGCATAATAAATGAAATAATAAACAATTTATACCAAATTCTAATGGAAATAAATTTTGTTTACATTTATTTGTTTATTTACCAACACTGTTTATAATGTCTGCTATGAAAATTTCATCAGCCGCATTCGCTGACGAAACTGCAACGTCGACTTTTACTCGTGGTTCTGTTGGTTAATTGTAAAAAAGGTACATTCACTTATTTCATTATTTTTATGTATGAATTAACAATATTTGAAGTTTAAGTAAAGATTATTTATGTCATTTCAGGTGATTAAAGCGCTTTTAAAATTACGCGCTACAACTTTAACGGCTAGAAAATTCAAACAAAATTGGCTACTAGAAGCTTCCAGTTGGAACGGACTTCATTACACTCACATTCCCTATAAATCATTTAGTGGTTCACATAATCCGTTACTAACAAAATCAGCTGTTAAAAAGTCAGATACATCACCTGCACCGCAAAGTGTTTGGGGTTCAAAGAAAACTAAACGTAAAGTGAGGTTACAAACGTTTAATCCAATGAGTAATCCAGAAATAGAAGTGCAATTGGCACCATTGCGTCAAAAGGTGCTCGAACAAGGTAATCTGGTACGCGAACTGAAAGCGAAAGGTGCACCTGAATTAGATGTAAAAAAAGCCGTTGCTGAACTTAAAATACGTAAGAAAACTTTGGAAGATCGTGAATTGGAACTAACACCAAATGTAGTTACTTTTGATCGTTCGAAAATGGAAGATTTACTGAAGCGGCGCTTCTTTTATGATCAAAGTTTTGCAATTTACGGTGGCATAACTGGTCAATATGATTTTGGTCCTATGGGTTGTGCTTTAAAATCCAATATATTAAGTTTATGGAGACAATTTTTCAGTTTAGAAGAGCAAATGCTTGAAGTTGATTGCTCAATTCTCACACCTGAACCTGTTCTAAAAGCATCTGGACATGTTGATCGTTTTGCAGATTTAATGGTGAAGGATACTAAAACCGGAGAATGCTTTCGTCTAGATCATTTAATTAAGAATGCACTGGAGAAGTTATCAAAAGAGAAGAACGCGACTGCGGAACTGAAAGCTGAATGTGAAGATAGCGTCATAAAATTAGATGGCATGAACAAGGAGGAAATGGCTGCAGTGCTACAAAAATACAACATGAAATCACCGCTCACTGGAAATGATTTGACAGAACCAATTGAGTTTAACTTAATGTTTGCCACACAAATTGGTCCTACAGGTTTAGTTAAAGGTTTCTTAAGACCAGAAACGGCGCAAGGTATTTTTGTGAACTTCAAACGACTACTGGAATTCAACCAAGGCAAATTGCCTTTTGCTGTGGCACAAATAGGTAATTCATTCCGTAATGAAATTTCCCCACGTTCCGGTTTAATACGTGTACGTGAATTTACCATGGCTGAAATCGAACATTTCTGTGATCCAACACAAAAGGATCATCCTAAATTTGAGAATGTAAGCTCGACGCTAATGACGCTTTACTCTGCCTGCAATCAAATGGACGGCAAATCTGCGCAGCAGTTAACAATAGGCGAAGCCGTGAAAAGTGGACTTGTGGCTAACGAAACGCTCGGTTACTACATGGCACGTATACATCAATTTGCTGTAGCGATTGGCATTAAGCAAGAGTGCATGCGATTCCGTCAGCATATGAACAATGAAATGGCGCATTACGCTTGTGACTGCTGGGATGCCGAATTTCTTACAAGTTATGGTTGGGTAGAGTGCGTTGGTTGCGCTGATCGTTCCGCTTACGACTTGAGTCAGCACATGGCCGCCACAGGTGTACGTTTGGTAGCAGAAAAACGCTTGCCTGCACCGAAAACTATTGAAGTTTCCGAAATTGTAGCCAACAAACAAGCGCTAGGCAAAACATTCAAAAAGGATGCCAAGCTAATTACTGACGCCTTAGCTAAGTTAACATTAGATGATATTAAAACTGTCGAACAGGATTTGACCACAAAGAACGAATATGTGCTGAACGTAGCATCAGCGAATGAATTCAAACTTACGCCAGACACAATCAGCGTGAAGCATACCACAAAAACTGTGCACGTTGAGGAAATCATACCTAGTGTGGTGGAACCATCTTTTGGTATTGGACGTATTATGTATGCACTCTTGGAACAAAATTTCCAATGCCGTGAGGGTGATGAACAGCGTTGTTACTTTACACTGCCTTCTGTGATTGCGCCACTGAAATGCTCAATTTTGCCTCTATCGAATAATGCAGAATTCAATCCCTTTATACGACAACTCTCAGCCAGTTTAACAAAAGCAGAGCTTTCACACAAAGTTGATGATTCAAGTGGTTCAATAGGACGTCGGTACGCACGTACTGATGAAATTGCGATACCATTTGGTATCACAATTGATTTCGACACGTTGAAGGCTCCACATACTGTTACTCTAAGAGATCGTAACACGATGAAGCAGGTACGCATCAGTATTGATGAAGTTATAGATGTCGTTAAGGATTTGTCCACTGGTAAAGTGCAGTGGAGCGAAATTTTGGAGAAATTCCCAGTATTCGAACAACAAGAAGCGACCAAATAGGCACATTCTCGAAATTTTTAAAAAAATCTCTTGACACAAAAGCAAGATAGAGGCATAAAAGTTCGATTTTATAAAGAAATTGGTAAAAAGCAACGCAAGACATTTCACCACAAACGTTTAGATATGTTTTTGATATTCGTTATTTTAAATTAAAATTTTTACATTACAATCATGTTATTTATATATTATTGCATTTAAGTAAAGAAACCGCTTACCTAAAAAAACCTGCTTTCAATTAATTCTTTTTTAATTGGCCTTAATAAATTCTGATAAGAACTAGAGGTAAGTCATCGAAAAAAAACGCACTTGCTGCAATTAAGCTGACTACTTAAAAGTTAGTTACTTGCACTAAATTACTTATTTCAAAAATATATTATTTTTTTTTTGTTATAAAACAAAGAGTTCATTAAATTTTCACATAAATTCAAAACAACTTTTTAAATTTCCGTTTAACTTTCAATTTTACTACAATCGCGTACCGGCAAAACTGAGGGATGAAGTTAATTTGTGGAATGTATCACGCAGCTGTGGCGAAGAACAGTGTTGCATTTATATGTAAAACATTAAATTTGTGGATACTGTCTTGCCTACACTTTTCGCGTATGAATAAAAATTAATATTTAAATTTTGCTATGGCGTTTGGTGTTTTTTATTTATTAATGAGTTTAGCTGGTCATTATTATCATTATAACTACGATATCCTTAAAATTGTTTCATTCTAAAAATTCGCATTAAATTAATTTTATACACAATTTAAGTCTTTCCATACAAGAATGAAATAAGTCTCTTAAATAATCTCGCTGAATTCGTTTAAAATAAAATTATTGCATTTTAATCGTAATAAATATAGTTTTATGATTTAAAAATATTAAACAAATTCATATACATATACATTATCATAATTTATATTATAATAACTTTCATTTATTAAAATTAGAGCATTCATTATCCTGTAGATACTGTTGTTCATAAAAAACTTTTTGTATAACTTACGGTATGTATTATATCTTCTGCAAAGATCTATATTTATAAATACTTTTTTTGTGTACAGTATATATATTATTAATACATATATAAATATAATATCAATTTAGATATGTTCTTGAAAAAGCTAAAAAATTATAATATCTAAAAAACTTGCGTTAAAGAAGTAATAAAACTGAAAGAGAATACATAATAACGGTTCCTATAAATTTAAGAAATAAAAGCCATATGTTTGTATAAATATATAATTGTATGAATAATATTACTTTCTAAAAAAATATGCTAGTAAAAAATCATTAATATATAAAAAGTCTTTATAAAAAAGCCTTAAATATATCCCAAATTTGAAGAGTATTCATTTAAGACCTAAGTGGTGTATATTATTAGACTCTATTGCTTAGTATATAAAGCACATATTGAACAAAATTTGAATACTTTTTTAATAATAAAATTTAGAATATCTTAGAAAATTTTTTAAATATATATAAATATGGTTTTCTAATTTTTCGTTCCGTTTAATTGAAATTACGATTTTCAGGTTCCTAAAAACTTTTTGATCACAAACCCACTAGCACTTGTTTAGTCTATCATTATTATGATAACTCATATTTACACATCAATAACGAATTTAATGGAGAGATTCGCACGCAACTGGTACTAAGCTCTACCTAACGAGTATTGGACCTCGGAAATGCTCATTTAAACCAGAAGTCACCAGTTATCCAGTGTACACCGTTCTAAAACAACTTACGCATTGCCATTCGGTCTTGCGCACGGTCGTTCAACACGTAAGATTACGGGAATTGTTAAGTTTCTCTGTCTAGATCCACTGCAGTATGTATTAAGTATATATTATATTATGTTCAGACACACTTTTATTTCGCAAAAATATTAATATCGTCTTCGTTTCAACAAAACTAATCAACTTTTAAGATTTCGCAGTTACAAATGGTGTAACATATTAAGCATATTAAGTAATTTTAAGCATTCGATTTCTGAACAAACAAAAATTATGATTTCCTTAATTTAGGGCAATATGAACACGTTCCAAATTAATTTAATTTCATTTTACGTAATTAAGGATATATGAGTTGATTTATTCATAATGTGGTCATTTATGTAAAAGCTCCTTGTATGGTATATTATCGTTTTTTGCTTATTATTAGCAAAACTACATAAATTATTGAAAACATGGTATAATCGTGCTGTAGACTATTTACATGATATATAATAATATACAAAAAATATTATAGGATAAATAAATATTAAATTAATAAAATATAGCAACAATTATATAGCAAATGTAATATATAATCCATAATAAATTAAATTTTCAAAACATATATTGAAAAAAAATTATCTAAAACCATTACAGAATCAAATTTAATAAATAAATGTTATTTATATAAGGTTATTGAAATTTTTCTGATACATTTTTCTGTTCCACTGTGTCGTATATAAACATACATCATGCGCTACCAACGATATGATTTAGGCCAGGTGCGAGTTTTAATAAATTGATGTGAAGATAAATTAAATTTACTAGGGATTTTTTGCACTGCACTTATGTAAATATATATTTAGGACGTGTGCGAGTTATGCTAAGTTGTGTTCCAAATGAGGAAAATTCTAAGTTGTGCCGATAATGTAGTGATGTGTCGATATGTGTTGATAAATGGCTAAATGTGTGCAGTGCAAAAAATACCAAAAAATCTCCCATTTGGTTTAACATCAACTTAGCCTAACTCGCACACGTCCTTAATTATTTATTGCACTTATTTATTATTTTTTGGCTAAAATTTTTCAAATTTATTTATTTAATTAAAGATCTTATATAATTTTCACAATGGTAACATCTGATTTACCTAATTTTTAACTAATTTACCCTGCTCGAAATGTTGGTAAATACCAACATTCGCTGTCATACCGACATAATTTATTATTTCCCTCAATATACCATCAATTTACTTGAACTCGCACACGGCCATAACTTGCTGCCGCACTATATGCTTTATTTGCTCATTGTATAGACGTTGTTGGTACTTTTGTTGTTACCACCAAATGCAACCGTGTATTTGCGGAAAATGAACATGTGTCGAACAATCGTGCCACTTCGTTGGCAATATCAAAACATTGAGACTTGCTGCTGCTTAGAATCATACTTTGTCTCGTTGAGTTTATATCAGGAAACTAAGTTGTCTCCAAGCACGTGCTCGCGAATATAGCAGTTGTGAAACCTTGCATATTGCGACGCAGTTTGTATATATATCACTCGTTGGGATCGTGTAACTACAAATTGAAAGTGCAAAACATATATTATATCCGTTGAAAAATCATTAGCTCAGAGCAGTGATTTAGTTTAGTGACTTGTGCCGTTTTTAGTTACAAACATTTGAAATTGGTCGTGACGCGTGCTGTGTGTGCAAAAACTAACCCATATCAACGCTTCAATCCATAATCTAGAACGCTAAGCGTGGGCGCGCAAATTAACTTACATAAAATTTCTTTTTTTTTTAGAGTTTTAAGTAAAATTTTGCAGGTGAGTTTGTGTTTATTGTTAAAAGAACATAAAGAGAACAAGATATGTTGCATGAAAAAGGCGCGAAATGTTAAATAAACATAGTATTTATCTTCTGCAGCATGAAGTACATCTTGGTAACAGGTGGCGTCATTAGTGGAGTGGGCAAGGGTGTTATTGCTTCCTCCTTCGGAACGCTACTCAAATCGTGTGGTTTGGATGTTACTTCAATTAAAATTGATCCATACATTAATATAGACGCTGGAACGTTTTCACCCTACGAGCACGGTAAGTTTCCCATAATAATTTCTCTACTTCCGTGTATTTTTTTTTATAAGTGCATAAAATTTACAATTCAAAATAAAATAAAAAATGTTAAAATAGCAAAAACAAAATTGTTGGCTGTTGCCGCATCGTCACCAGTTTCTATTCTAAATAGACATTTTGCATGTGGGCATCTTGCCAAAAATGCGAAATTGTTTTGCATTGTACTTGAGTGTTTATATATTATATTGTTTAAGTGTTTATATAAAAAGTTATTTTTTTTTTATAATAAATTTTATTTGGAAACTAAATTATTAGTAATAATCAAATTATATTATTGTACTTAGTAGTTACAATAAGAACCAATAAGTCTCCAATGAGACCAACTGGAATATGTAACAAAATAATTCTACAGTAGTTTTAACACATCGGCTGATAAATCGATAGAATAACCAAAAAAACAACTTTTTGATAAAATTTGTCTTATTCATCAACGCAGTCTTCTTCGATATTAACACAATCCAACGCTTCTCTAACATTTTTTTACTTCTTTGGTAGTATGATTCATCTTTGCCCTTAAAATATGCTTTAGTTTCGACGATAACTTTTTCATTAGAGCCACAAATATCTTTACCTGTATCTTTTTTTGAGGTCTGCAAGATGATAGTAATCGCAGACGGTCAAATCAGGCTAATATGATGAGCATGAAAGCAATTCAAACTTTAAGTTACGTTAGGTTATACCGGCGATTCCTAGGGGATCTACTTAGGTCTATTGGTCCAATGTGCTATCGTATATAGAGGAAAACTGTGAGTTTAATACCACGTAGAACCTTTGGTGAAGAATTGAAACTATAGTTCGTGCAAAAGTACCCAACGACTTGTGGCGCGTTGTCTGATGAGAGAGAAATTTTATTATTGGGACGTTGTTTCACGATTTCTTAGCGATAGCTTTAGAGGGTCTGGAATTTTTGTAGTCAATGAACAAAATTTCACGCGCATCTCAAAAAACCATTACCTTGCTAGGTGCCTGTTGCGTTTTTGGCCACTAAGGGCGAGATTTGTCCGCTGCTGTTCATTCAGTTGACTGTTGATTCGATTTTGGAGTAAAATGGTCCACATTTTATCTCGCTTCAACAGCTCCAGTTTCATAATAATCGATACGGTGCGTTATTCTACGGACTTATCAACCGATGTGTTAATTAATTTTACAGACAGTCGTTTAAGGTTCGATTTTAAAAAGCTAAATCTTATATATGATATCTTTTTAACATGCTGGTTTCATTTTACTATTGTCTAATAAATAAACTGCGTGTTGATTTGGATGGGTTTCTGGTTTAGCAAAGTACGTGCAAGTGAGCCTACTTATCTAATTTTTATAGAACAAATATCCGTGGATTTATTATCACTGATACATCTGATGGTGTTGATACCCAAACATGTGCCAACACTAATCGGATAATGTAAAACTAACACGTATTTAAAAGGTGATATTTCAGGTAACATTTTTTTTTGTCAAGGCAGTGGTGTAATTTGTCGTTGATGGAGATAGATAAAAATATGTGAAATATCTGAAGAAATTATCTTTGTGATCCTATATTACTAAAATATCATAATTTTGCTACTAAGAAATGTGCAAAGAAATTTGTACGGTTTAAGGTGAGGATGCTGTAAACGTTGGATCCAGAAGTTGTATGCTTGATTCCGTTCTAGAAATTACGATGTCAAAGACACACCGCTCTCTAGTCGACGAATCGGTTAAAAATTGTAAAATTATTTATTGTTTTAAAAAGGAAAAAAATAAATAAATTACATTTATATATATTTTAGCTTGTGTGATATAATTACTAATATTTTATAAAATATTATATTATAAAAAAGCCAATCTGCGTCTAAAATATTTGAGCCATAACAAAACACTTGAAGTCATAAAAATATGATATAATTTATAATAAATATTTTTAAATTAATTACTAATAATTATTATTATTTCAAGTCAGAAAAATTTACTATTAAAAATATCAGAAAAGATTTTATTATAGCTTGAAATCCTATCCAAAAATTATTTTTCTTAATAGATAAAGAGTTAGTTGGTACAGAAAGATTTATATATTTTTATTTATTATATATACACGAGTATTTATGTTATTGTATATAATTAATAAAATAACTTAAAAACAATATTTTTAATTACATATCAAAATTCCAAACCAAAACATTTCGTTATCGACTACTTACTTACACCACTTAATTATTTTTCAACCTATATTTCCATCAGATTACTCTGCTCTACTAAATCACTATCTCAACGAACTATTAAGCGGCCACTTGAAATAACAATTTATTCTTTCCTTCCCTTAAAAAAAACAAAATTTTGCATTGTCCAACGTAGATAATCTACATTTAATAATCTGTTTTCTTTCTTTCAATTAATTTATGAAATGAATGAACTGAACTCTATTATATGTATGTATATAATTACAGTAAATAGTAATTTACTTGATGTAGTAATTCTATAAAAATAGCCATTAATTGATTATATATGTGTAATCATTTTAATATTTAAGTATGTGTAAATATAAATCATATCAATAGATTTAAAACCGCATAACGAATTCAGAAAGTGAAGGTGTTACGACAAACAAAAACAAAAAACAGAGAAGAATGGAAGACTGTTGTTAAGGTCAGGCTTAGGTCCTACATGGACTGTATAGTCACGAATGATGATGATGAGATGTTACGGCAAAAAATCCGAGAGGAATTTATTTTATTTGTTGTTTATAGTAATAACGATGAATGAATAATCATTTTCCGAGGGTCACAACGGATTGATAGGATTCAATATTCTGAGCAACTTTTTTCCCTATATAGCTTAGTTCTAGGAATATAAAACTATCGGATTGTATTCTTTTTTACATAAAAAATAACAACTACAAATAGACTTGTATTTTGGTATATTTCTTGTATATTAAGCCTAGTACTCAATCCATTTCGCTGGAAAAATTCATATAAATCTTCAAAAAAAAAGTTTTCAAAATTTCGTGGGCATTTTATATACCTTCTGCTCAAAAAATATCCGGATTTTGTTGATTGTTAACTACTCCTTAAGTAATAGACCATTTTCAAAAATTGTTTTTTGTTATGTTGGTACATTCTTTCTTGACATATGGTACAAATTTAAGCGCCATGTGAGACTACCTCAAGTGCATTTACCGATTTTTACTATGGAAAATTCTTGTTGTACGCGATTTTTTGACCAAACACGGGACCACTGTCATCGCTAAGGCACCATATTTGCCAGATCTCGTGCCGTGCGACTTTTTCCTGTTCCCGAAACTCAAATTGCCCCTTCGTGGTAAGCGTTTTGAGTCGATTGAATCGGTAAAAGAGAATTCGCCGAAGGAACTAAAAGCCATACCTTCACGGGCTTACGAAAAGTGTATAGCATATGTGATTGCCATACACTTATAATCACTTATAAGATTGGATAAGCGTTGGCATATGTGTATCGCTTCAGAAGGACCATATTTTGAAGGAGATAAAATAAATTTGGAATAAAATTTAAATTTGTGTGTTTTATTTACAAAATCCGAGTACTTTTTGAGCAGACGGTATAGTGTTTGATGGTAATTTTCGTACGAAATGGACCTAAGTACTAGAATTTAGAAGTAACACTTTTCAGCATATTTAATAAACAGTCAAAGACAGAACGTAGGTCCTTATTCTATATATACAAACGTGAAAGTGTATACGCGTATGAAAATATATGGGGATACTGCTTAATTATATATCGGATGTTTTTTTAGCTGCAAAAGAACTTAAAATGATAATAGAAGACATAAATATTGTTGGAATGAAATTTTTTTTATTATAATCTGGTAAAGTGACATTTTTTTTTGTGAGTTGATTTCCGACATATGTCCGACGTGTCTTCGGGTTACATGGTTCATTCGATCATCCAATTTTTGACTATTTTTTGCAATAAATATGGCCGTATGGCAAGTTCTGTCGTCTTGCATCTTGTTGAAACCAAATCTCGTCGATGTTTACCCGATTAATTTTTGGAAATTTCGAAAGAAATAAGGACCGAATATTTTTGTTTTTATTGTAAGCACTATGTCATTCTACCATTCTTGGGGTTCTCAGTTGATTCGCTTTTCGGCCTAACTTAGTTCTCGTAGACAAGTGATGCTGAGCCATTTATTCTGTTGGTAGACTTTATTCTGAAAGACTATAACCAACTTAACCACTGAAACATTTAATTGGCTATAAATAATATCGTTAATACGACTGTAATTAATTTACTTATTAAATTACAACATAATTAAATGATTCTCATTTTTCAAGTTTTATGTTGATTGTTAACGTTTGTAAATCATATCCTTAGAAGTTAACACTCTTCTACCATTTTTGATATATAACTTTACCTAATAACAGGAGTGTTATTACAACATCAATTCTTTATTTATATTTTAGTAAAGTTTATATTACTATAATTTTTTGTATATATTAATTATGTTATATTAATTTGACCTACTATCAGCTGGCGTGTTTAACAATTTTTCGGGTAAGCACAATGAGCTCAAAAGACCTTAACATTTATTTCTAAATAATACCCAAACCAATATGTATCTATCCAGTCTAAACAATGTTAAATCGCGTCAATTGACGCGACTTCATATATTTAAACAATTAATACGTTTGTTATTCTCAGATTATGTTTATTGTCTGCATATTAAAAACGACGTTATTCATGTGTTTGTCTATGTTTTTATGACTCTTGATATTAAAAAGATAACTTTGACTCTTTTTTTTGTATTTATTGCAATATTATTAGTCTTCAATGAGTACAGTTCAGGAATTTACAACTATAACGAGCCCATAAAATAAATTAAGTCGCACTTTTTCTTATAGATAAATATACCATATATTATAATTAATATATACGATATATAATCATCTTTAAACAATCATCATCAATAATAAACATTTAATGCCTTAAGTGGGGCGTACCATAGGTTGAGA